TCACCACGCATATTGTGCACGGAACAGATAAGTGCACTGGGGACACATTGAATCATTTCCCCATCCGTAGGAAGGTTTCGGGTACCAACATAAAGTTGGCCATTGGAACAGTTCAAGAAAAACAATTTCTCACTAAAAGTGGAAGAAGCAGCCACGACGATGTAATTGGACCGGCTCGAAAAATCTAAGTGACGTATGACACCTCTCGCAACAATAAACTGACTTATCAGTAACAAGAAAACATTAACCGAATGGCTATAGAAAGAGTAGCCACCTATAATTCCCAACGAGCTACAAGGCGCTGTCCTCGGGTGCTTGTCTGTCAGTTCTTGACCGTCGTGAAAACGATATAGAAGTCGAGTGGGAAGTGGCAGTTTTACTTTCAAAAGTGTCTGCAATTGTTCAATATCGGATTCCGATACACCCCTTCTAAGTGTAGCTTCAGCCTCAGGAAAATTATTGCTCAACCATTGCTTAAGCTTATCCCAACATCTTTTAACACGCATAACAAGCGGCCATGGATACATCGAGAAAGCCTCTCGCCATAACTGATAAGCCACCTGAAAAAGACAAAAAAGGAAGAGGATAAACAAAGATAAAAGCATACTTAAGTTTATACACTTTATACATCCACAAATTCATATATACTAGCGTATTCAAATCTAGTGAAACATGCACGAACTCATGTGACCTTTGTGGTAAATGAATTATTGTTATTCCTTGAGGTCCTAGGTTCTAGCTCCGGCAATGTCAGGAGCATTAGCGTTCTATGTTAAGTGGTTGAAAATTATCTTTGAACAAATGCTGCCTCGTACTTACCCCAGATTACTCAAAAAAAAAAATCTAGTGAAACAATTTTGCTAAAACACAAAAAGAGCCCTTGCATTATACCATTTTATTTAAATAACCCTCATATTTTTGTGCACCTAAATGTACTCTTAACCATCTTGTATTTACTTACATAAGCCTTAATCTTTAATTTACACCTAAAATCCCTTATCATAAATAAACTTTTCACTTGGAAAAATAAGGGTCAAGTGTACCAATCTAAAGATAAGGCTTATTTAGGCTGAAAAAAGTATAAGGGCCTATCTACGTAAAATAGTATAGCTTGGGGGCTATTTTAATATTTTACCCAAATATTTTCATCTATGCTAAAATACTTATTTTGATCATTGTGCTTTCAAAAATTATAAAAATGGTCACTAAATTTTAGCGAACATCACTAAATTTTAGCGAAAAGTAAATTTATAGAAACTTTGCAATTAATATAACATCGGAGTGATTGTTCTGTAACAGTTAATGCAACCATAATTCAGTGACCTCTAGTTTACCCTACACTAAATTTTAACTTATTTGCCTCTAAATTCCAAAATTTGAGTCTTAGATCCCCATGAATGTGATTTATTTGCAAAATGGTATTTTTAAGGGGAAATTTACTTAATTGATTTCCCCCCTAATTCAATAAGAACAGTCAAACGATCAAGTAAATCAACACAAACATTCATAGATAAGGAAAATCAAATTACCTTAAAATAAGGGAGAGGGCTTCCTTGATGATCTTGAGGGGATGAAAGATGAAGCTCTTGGGAACAAAATTGAGCCCAGAGCGAATCTTCAGAAGCTGAAACTCTAAGCCTTTTGCTAACACATGAAACTCTAACAGTATCTGAAGGAGTTAACTTTGATAAAATCGTGTAGAGCTAAATCTCCTAAACCATCTAACCCCAACTCTTTTTCCATTGAAATCACACTTCAGAACCCAAAACCCAGATTTTGAAAAACAAAGGTCAAAGGTTTGCGGCACTAAATCGAGACATGAGTGTTTGGATGTTTGGATGAAGGGAAGCGAGAAGCTATCTTTGTTGGCGGCTGATTAATTTGGCATGCCTTTTGCTCTCAATCGTAGTCGTGGAGTCGTGTTCTGATGTTCGACACGTTGCAACGCTTTCGTAAATGTGTGTGCTTTCCAGATTTGTATCGATTTGGGGTAGACCATAAATTAAAATAAATACAATTATAAAATATTTTGATTTTAGAATTTATTTTTGTTAATATGGACCTTAATTATTTTTTGTTTTAATTAACGGGAACAATAGGATCAGTGTATGAGATTAAATTAATTCAAAGTTTAAAGATTTCACAGATAATTTTACTTTATTTCAATTTAGCCTAATGTTTTATCTTCCACATTAATTATTATGTAATGAACCTTTTTTATTTTAATTTTTTTAAAGAAGGAAACCGAGCAAGAATTGTGGAATCGGTACTTGAAATGGCTAGAGTGAAAAAATCAAAGCCTATACTCATTAACAAAGAAGAAACAAACAGTTTGTACATTCCCGTCCACATGAATCATTTATGCCCCAGCAGCCGACACAACGAACCAGCGATGTCCACACTCACGACCCGAATTGGGCTTATCGCGAAAAAAAAAACATGATCTAAATTCCCGTACGTAGAAATAACGAAATTTGCTTCGATTGAGTATTCACAGCCCAATTTTGCCTACATAAATCGGGAAAAAACATATATATTAAGAAAGCTTCATATTTATTTGAGAAAATCCGAAAAAGAAACCGAATCCGACATTTAGCCGAGCATGAAATTTTGTTATTTCCTCCTCACATTGAACTCTCGAAACATGCGATAAATTGTATCCGACATTTATCCGAACATGAATAACGTTAACGAGTTCAAGATATAAAAAAACATTTGGATATAAATCCGCACGCACAGGTCTAAGATTCAAATCCTCTCCCCCCCCCGGTTTTGTATCAGAAAAACCAAAAGAAAAAAAGAAAAAATGGTATTGCCACTGTTTAAAAAAAATGCTACTTCAATAGAGGTATTGGAATTATGTGCAGTAGTTTGTCTCCTCTTTATTGTCTCGGATTCCGAGCATTTTCCTATAAAGCCAAATCTCGATTGGTAGAGTTTAAGGTTAAGAGCATTCATTAAAAGAAAGAAAAAAAATAAATGCAGCTTGTCCCAATCGAACCCTTGTCTTGAAGCTGCGATCGATTTTATATCAAAAGAAAATGAGAAAAAAGGATGTTTGCAAGGTATGACTCAACAAATTAATGACATGGGGAGACGAAACTGTGATAAACTGGGCTGTAATCAATTCAATAGTTTCAAGTTCAACCCTTTCAGTCCTGTAAGGTCAATACAAAATGAACCTAACGGTACTGACGATTTGATAATGTTTCAATGTATGCATGTAAAGTTGTAAGAATAATGCACATCAGACATGATGATACAGATCAGTAGACTGTTCGATAGAAGTGTATATATATATATATGTACATGCACGTACATAGTTGAAATTAATGCACATGAGCACATCAGGGCTCAGGCTCAGACAAATAGAAGACAATTCTGAAAACATAAAACCGTTTCATTCAATAACGTTCCACAACCCAACACATCAAAACCAAAACTGAAAACAAAAAATACTAGATATCCATCTGAATTGAAATGTTACTTCAAAATTTCAAGTAAAATGGCAGATAATATAACTTTTTCGTGGAACCAACTAGTTCGATATCTAAGTTCAATCAACCCCACCCCCGCAGCCCCCCAAGAAAAAAAAATAAAAATGGAATCAGATGTTTTAAGTGAATCGCCTTAGATCTCTAACTATGATACTAAAACTTGACAGACTAGATTCTCAAATGCCCAAAATAACAGGTTCCTTCCCTATAGATTAACTCCAAGATCTGGGAAAAGAAACATATAGAGCCGTATCGAGATTTAGTATAGTAGAAATAATTCTATATATTGAGTACAATCATATCAATTAGACGGCCTACCAATCAACCATATCAATTAGAAAGAAAAAAAATCATTACTCTTACGATCCATTTCGTTTTGCAAAAAAAGATCACTTTGGGAGAATAGTTTTGCATTATTTGTTCCGTGGCTTTGGATTTAGTTATCTGCTACCCTTCTTGAAGCAAAGCCAAAAAGGATGCCCTATGAATAAGATCAACCAACCACTAAGAGTAAAAACTAAAACAAAGAGAATGAGAATTCTATATCCTGACATAATCATAATTAATGTCAATTCGAATTACAGCAATTCTTGTTTACGATTTTATTTTAAAATGTAAAATTTGTGGCTTTAAGAAAAATTGAGGATCATGATGACAAACACGCATGCTATAAATAGGAGTCGAAGTTTCTTGCTCTTCAAATTATCGAGGACACTAAAATGAGGCTAAGTTTCCAACGTCAGTTCATAGATGAGCGGCCGACTTGCAAGAGTTGAGACTTACTAAACCTAGCTTTAACAATAAATATTTGAGAGTGACAAAGCAGATTTGGAACTTCAACATGCCTCTCAAATTCAGTAAAACTCAGTTTTACAAAGTAAAATTACAAATTCGAATCCCATAATATGTACATTTCAAAGAATTCTAAGAAAGATTCATCCTATTGCCTAGTGAAAAAAGTGTAAAAAGCCTCGAAATAAATGCAACAATAAGATAATAGCGTGAGATGTGCTATACAGAAATACAGTAACAATGCTCACAAAGAAGAATAACAAAACATATACTACTTCCAGAGAAAAAAACATATGCATATAATAATATTCTATAAAGAAGATAAAACAAGTGACATAAACAAAAATTTGATCTCCATACAAGAAAAACAAATAGCTAAAAAGATATCAAACATCGATCATAATTTACAAGTCACGCCAATGCAAATGAGCTTAGATTCAATAAAGATAATTATTTGTAAAAAAAAAACTATGTTATTTGAACTTGGATATTAGTTTCACAAATGGGTAATTGGGTATGTATTTGACACTAATATTTTCATTTTTCTAGAAGTTTTTCCATGTATTTGGAAGGTCCTTCAAGGATCTTATCCCAATACCTTCCAAAGACATGATAACCTATATAAAGCCAACTAAAAAGCCACTAGAAGAATGCACCAATCATTTGTCTAACTAATCCAATAATTATGTTTTTGTCGACTAGATCAATTTGGAAACCATGATTTTGTTGACAGTGAATCAGCTTTCAAACATCATGAGACGATATATAGGACATCACAGCATGCGCTAATAGGCCACACATACAACCTCTTGAAAAGTTCATATCAGAGTAAAGCAACACCCATATCCTTTTTGTCACAATCAACCCCATAACATTCTCAAAATGCAACCTTGAAACACTTTAACAAACAAAAAGGATTGCAGCCATCTCATTACAATAAAGATGGCCCATTTTCTATTCACAAAATAGTAAACTATCTGGCCAAATTGCATGACACTACGGCTACATTTTCCAAGCTCTAAATCACCAAGGTTATGCATAATTTTCAGAATGCATATGCAACCATATAAAAGAAGGATAATAACACTCGACATACAGCTATCATCACATAAAAAAATCAAGAAATTCCCTAAACTAACCAATTTAGCATGTATATGTTCAAGAAAACAAGTTAAGAGACAATTACCTAGATTGGAGAAGATATCAGTGTTGATTCCCCGCCCCTTGTCCACCAGGAGTATTTGTCTGCTGCTGCTGCTGAATCTGGAGGAGAAGACTAGCTGCAAATTGCAGAGTTGACTGGTATCGCTGGTTTTTATCAACATCCACATCTGATATGCCCTGACCAGCTCCAGAAACCACAGATTGCTGCTGCTGTCCACGACTAGGAAGCTCCAAATTTTGTTTGTCACCTTGCATCAAATTTAGTGGCTGAGAAACATTAGCACCTTGAACCTGATTAGACGAAACATTAGCATTGCTCGGCTGCTGAAAATCTGGCACACCATACAACCCGGAAGCATCTGATCCATGCATCATTCCATAGCCATTCCGTGTATTAGAAGGGACCTCGGGATGATACTGCTGGCTAACAGAGGCAGGAACTGCACCATGTTCTCTTTGAGAAGGGATATTGAAATTAGTTAATGGCCTTGAAGATGCAGCCGTTTGCTGTGGTAAGCTGACTGCAGAATCCAGATTCTTGGTGCTTCCAAGAGCCATCTGGGTGGACTGGATGGGTGACTGGTTATAGAAAAGTAATGCTGAAATGGTGGTGGTAACTGTGCCGGCGGATTGTACTGTTGGAAAGATGAGGCTGCAGGGTCATAAGCTTGCTGCTCCTGGTTCCAAACCTGTGCAGCTCCTCTTGGCGCAATGCATTTAGTAAATGAGGACTGTGTAGTGGATGCCACCAGTGGAGGCTGGACATCTCCAACAGCAGCAGACTGTGAAACAGTTGGGAGGAAAGAAGTTAGGGTAGCAATCAGATCAGGTGTTAAAGAAACACCAGTTTTGGGAAGTGTCGTAGCATTATTGAGTGGTGGTTGACTTTGTACAGTAGATTGCCCAAGTGGTCTTGCAGAAGGTACCGATTCCTCATGCATAACCCTTCCATACTCCATCGGCAAAGCTTGTTCATCCTTCAAGCGTGCAAGATTATAATCATGATGAGAAAGAAAGGATGGATGCGACTGCAGTGTAGTGATAGGCAACTGTGGAGGCAACTTTAAAACAACACCATAGAGCCGTTCAGGTCCTGCAACTTTGAGAACCTTCGTTAAGAATTCCGATGGCGGCACCAAAAATAGTGTTGTCCCATCATCAAACTTAGCAACACCAGCTCTGTTTTTTGAACCAAGGTAGCGAAGAAATTCAGTGTATGATGCAAAATCATCTTCACTGTCAGGTAAGAAGAAAACAATATCAAATCCGATAGCCTCACAATAGTGTTTTGCTAGCATATCCAATCCTGTTCTGGCAGAACAGTTAACAACTTCGGGACTGAAAAAATAGAAGGAAATTTTAGTAACATAACAATACCCGACTGGAAGAAATAAAAATAAATAAATGAATAAGTAAACAAACGAACACTGAAACTACAACAATTAGAATTCAAAATTAACATATTTTGAGGAAGTGGGCAATCAAAGAAAATGACCTCATGGGCAATGCTCCAACAGAAGAAAAGTTTACTAAAGAATTTACACTCAGATACTACAGTAAATTAGCTACGATGAAAACCAACAGAAATTTAATTGTCCAACAAATTACAAGGGTAGCATGCAAAAGTATTTACGAATAACACACAAAATTAGAAGAGGAATTTCTATTGAATTCCCACTTTGTTAATACCAATAGAATGGAAAGTCAATGAATATTTCCAGCTAACATCTCAGAACAAAAATTCATCACATAAAACCACATTATGCTATGTCCAGAATTCAAACATGAAAGTAAGTCTCAATGGAAATCTACACCAGATCAAACAAGATATCAAGCATCTCCTTCATAAATAGGGAAGACAACATGGAAAATAATCACACTTACAGTTCTGTCTCGAGCCCCTTTCCAATGGGAACACATCGAGCATGACAAACAGCTGTTCCACCCTTGGAAATAATGCCACGCCAAATGTAATCATTATCGGCATGAGCTCGTCCGAGTCCACCAGCAGTGATCTTTACAGGCACTGGATTAACACGATCCTTCCCCTGGACATTCAAAAATGGACCTGAAACACCCACACCAATTACTGGCCCAATGTGGTCTGAAACAGGCCCAAGATCATCCATCCTTCTTAAAGGTAAACCATCATCAATGGGCAATGAAGCCTCTATCCTCGAACGTTTTGCACCTCTCTGAAATTGACTCACGTCATAAACATCCCAAGAACCAGATGCCTGTCTAAATGGAGGTCTGAGACCTTGAGCAGAAGGGTCATAAGGAGAAGAGTTCCTCCAATTTGGAACCGTGGGATTTTTGAGATCAGCATCCAACATATTACGATGCACAGACAAATCTTTGTATTCCAAACCTGAAAGCAGATGATCATAGCTACCTTGATGATTAAATGGCCTGATTTGCACATTTGGTCCAAGAATTCCACTAGTTGCTAATGGTCCAGTTACTGTACTAGGTAGTACTGTAGGATTTTGACCAAATATGTCCATTTGTGAAGACCTAAATGGATTATCACTCAAGAGAATGTCGGACCCTGGCCCCTTTTTGCCTGAATAAAAGCCAGAGTAATCTTTTCCAGGTGCAAATTCACTACTTGAGAACATAATGGTGATCCTTGGATCATTAAATAAACGACCCTGTAAGCCCTCCTTAGCACGACGAGCTTCCTCCACACTCCTGAACTCCACAAAGGCAAAGTGCCTTGAAGGGAAGCTCCTAATGTTCTCAATCTCACCAAACAGTATCATAGCATTATGAAGCATTTGTTCATCAATCAGAACAGCGGGAGGATAACCTACCCACAAAACTTTGCTAGGCTGACCGTCTCCCTTTTGCCCACCTAATTGAGAATGCTGCAAAGATAATTCAACAAACTAGAATGCAAAAAGTCAATCAATTTGGGCAATAGATGTAGGTGCAGGAACAATGAAGAAAAATTATACAAAATCTAGTTCAACAGAGACTTTTGGTTTATAACTCACAGGTCTGTTTGCCAAAAGGCTATCAGATGGCCCCATCCTCCCGGCCAAAGGACCATTTCTGAAATCATGAGAGATCGGCCACTGTTCCTGTCAAAAGGATTGAGGAGAAAGTTAGTTCATATAGCATATCAGACATTTCAAAGTGTTACATGGAAAAAAGGTAGAACATGTGTCAACTACAAGAAGTATTAGTCTTGGAATAGAGATACTAACTAATGGATAATCTAACAATTAAAAGCAGATCTACAATCCTAAATGCATGTACTTACTCTTCTTGAAGGATGAGATCGCAAAAAATCAACTCGTATCTGTGCACCACCTATTTTCTTCCCATTCATGCTTCTCATAGCACGGGAAGCTTCTTCCATTTTGAAATACTCAATAAATGCAGTATTACGATCTCTAAGGAACTTGAAGTCTTCAATTTTACCAAATTTGGAAAATTCTTCTTCCAATTCCTCCTTTGAAATAGTTTGGCTAATTCCACCAACACCAACCCATAGACTCTTACAAGGTTTTGCCTGAGGAATTTCACAACAAACCCCAAAAATTAGACACCAAGTTTAACAAAATTACTTACTGGGAGTATATAAATCCTATTACCATAAATTCATATAATTGCAAAATGCTCTTATATTTATTCTATTGCAAGAAAATGTTTAGATATGCTGTTCTAGCCTCCTTCCAGACACAAACAAAGAAGGGGAGAAAGTTAAAAATAACAGAAACTACTTTCTGCATGACCAACAACGACTCTAACAAGTCTAGCAAAGACAAGAAAACAAAATATCAATTTTTAAAAAAAATAAATATATAAGAAAGTCTATAGGGATTCCTACAATATCAAAATTTGCCCAATTCTGTATAAGGTGATCCTTCATTCTATATGTCATATTAATGCCATCCAACTAAATATGCACACAAATGTATTTATGAGGTATTAATCATCTCAATTCACTTCCTAACGACAACATTTAACAAGACCTGAGAAGAAAATGAATACACTAATAACATCACAGATAAAAGGAGCTCAAACATTTTAGGGTTTTTATAGCTTTCCTTGCTACTTAAGAATACAGACATCATTGATTTTTTCCTCCTTTATTCTCTTTTCTCATAGACAAAAAAAACCTAATGACACAATAGTTACCAAATTCAGGAAAACTAACAAAGAGAAAAAAAAGGAGGGAAAAAATCCATATCTTGAGATCTTTTAAACTATGTTGCCACAGCTCTTCATTTTTTTATATGGAAAGACATTTAAAGAGGCAGATTAGTGAATTCATCAAGCATTTGAGTAGTTTCTCTTCAACTTGATAGTTTATAATTTCACATTTACAGAGGCAGATTGGTGAATTCCTCAAGCACTTCAAGTTGTTCCTCTTCAACATGATAGTTAATAATTTCTTTCTGAAAGTTTTCTAGGTATAGATATATTTGTTTAAATTTTATCTTCACTTTGGCAAAATACTTTAAATACTGTAATTTTTTGTTGCAATAACAGTTAATAGGCAGTTTGCATCCAAGAAAAGACCAAAGAATGAAGATACGAGATCAATGATGGCAACTAAATGAAACGTGATAATTTTCTACCAAAGTATATTGACAAGATTAGAAGCCAATTTAGCTAAAAGTGATGATTTAGCTATGCATAGTGGAATGCTTGAATTCATTTTAAAGAATGAAGCAAGTTTAAAAGGGCACCTATGGCATTTTGAAGATAAATCATTTCTCTATAACGGTTCCCCACAATAGGAACCAAAGAAAAGGATGTAGCACTTATTTTTTACAAATATTATTACTAACTAAATAATATTTAATTTCATCAACCTCATACTGGATATTCCTTTTTATTGCTTGTTGCTAGATTCAATCAATTTGAGAAGTAGAACACTGCAAATTGGAAATATTGCTTGCTTTTACTCATGTAAGATTATTATGCTAGAGGTTTATGTACCAAACTCAATACACAGAAGAACTAGAATCAGTATATTTTAGTCTTCTGATTAGGCATGTTTCTTTTGAGGAAAGTATATAAGAGTTAGAACACTGGGAATTGCCTCAAGATCCTCACCATTACCCACCTTAACCCATAAATCCATAAAATTTTAAGCATTTTCGCATTATGATTGAAACGCTTTTAACAGTTGCAAAGATTTCTGAGTTCCAAACAAGAAAGAATTAAGAAACAAACAACATCCTGCCTAAATTGCTTCATCATCTAATCCCAGATTAGATCTTGATTCTTTTAAATATTGCCTACTATTTTGTACAAAAGAATTATATCAGATTGAGTCCGCGTTCCTCAATTTTATATCCCTTTATAAAAATTTAAATTCTGAGTTTCATGTTGGGCTGCGTTTCTTAAAATTCCAATATCTATTCCGACAATTTATATAAACGAAACAAATAATATCAGTGTAAAAAGGATTCAAATATATGAATTTGGAACAACTAAAACGTCATATATTCTTCTGTTTATTTCAGAATATAAAGGAAGATAATTACACACAAAGCAGCACAAATTGGAAAAACCTAAAGAGACAAAAAGGAGAAGAAGAACGAAACGAACCGGTCGAGCAAACTCAATCTTGATCTGGTTTCCTTGCAAGGTAGCTCCTCGGAGAGCGTCCTTAGCCGCCCTCGCATCCTCAACGCGTTTAAAGAACACGAAAGCGAAGCTTCTAGAAGAGTACGTGGCGACGCTATCGAGTTCGCCAAACTTGCCGAATAATTCCATCAGATCCGAATCCACCGTCTCGCCCGACAAGTTTCCCACCCATAGATTGTTCGACGGCGTATCGGACACTTCCGATTCCTTCCCTAGCTTCTGCTGCCTCATCGACGGGAACATTGTTCGAAATTTAAATGCTATATTTTTAACAAACCGTTAAAAAAGGGAACGAGCGAGGTAGTGATTTTGAAATATGAAACCCTAAAAGTTAGACGGAATTCCAAAAGAGAAGGCCGAGGTTAAGGAAGAGAAAATTAGGAAGGGAATTGGAGGATTATATATACGTATATATATAGCAAGTCAGGATATATAGGAGGGAAAATCCAAACGACACCGTTTTGATTAGCGAGGCCGTAGCCCGGGCCGGGGTTGTCCTTTGTGAGGTGCACTGCATATCAACTGTTTCGCGTCTCGCGGATTCTATTATTCAATTTAGGATAAATTACTTATTTAGTCATCTTATCATTACCATATTTGTGTTTATGTCATCAAACTATTAAAATTTTCCTTTTAATCATTAATGTTATATTTTGATCATAAAATTTAAAGGGATTATAACGTGAGCTAGTATAATATTATTTTAGTCCTTATAATTTATTAAATTTAATTTTTTATATTCAAAAAACATCAATTTAATCATCAAGCTTCGTCATCCTTGTCAACCACTACAAAGTTTTTAAGTCAAAAATGTCAGAATGAACTAAATGCTGAGTTGACAACGTGATTGAGTGTCGAAATCATCTCTGTTTTCATGGGGAAAACTTATATTGCAATAGTCATAAGAGTCGCCTAAAATCGATTAGAAAACTGAGGAATTGACATTTAAAAGTTTTAGTACAACTTTATATATGATATAAAATTAAGTTTGATCATAAAGGCAAAATGCAACACATAATAATCTCAATTAATCTCGTAATTGGATCGAGCTCTTTCAAATATATAATATGCAATGTGATACTTGCAACGCAATGAAATTGGACTTTCGTGCGAATTCGAATAAATCATCTTTTTCACATAGGAGGATTGTTTCAGGATATGTAGCAAGTAATCATTATGAAAATATCGAACATACTTCTATAACATGCATACTTTATCCGATACTCTCATGTCTCATTCGAATCGGAGTAACATAACCCGTCATTCCAGCACGGAGTCGGTTAAAAACGGAAAATACTTTATACAAAACATCTCAAGCTGAACTCGGAACTTGATTTAATCAATTCATGGATATACATAGAGGAAACATCTAATAACAAGTCTAGAGCAATTACAACATCAACAACCTTTTTCTCTATTTTCATACTTTTTGGATTGGAAACAGAGGATCCACCGTCGATAACGGTGACTAATCTCCTCACCGCAGGTGGCTTTCACAAAGAGACAAACGGCTGGCAATGGAAAGTACTCCATATTAATATCGAAAGTTTCTAGAGAACTAAACATGTGATACATATTTGATTATGTGTTTAGTTTAAGTACACCCTACGTTACTTGAATCTTCGTAGATATAGAAAAAAGATCTAAAGATACGAAAATACTCGGAAACAATATGAAACCCATATTTGACACTCACCGTCAAACCCGGTAATGTACGTATCTCTATACCCTGATTTACGAATAAAAAGAACAACAGGAACTAACATATAAGGAGCAGAGTTAAAGGCGTTCAATTTCTGTAGTTTGATCATTCATGCTAGTCTAAACGCAATACAACCAATAAGGAAAACTAAAATACTACAAGAGCTTGATCTGGTAATTACCGTTCCTTTACGACAACCGAGCTTTTTCTTGATGTTAAATGTTGATGTTCCGAATAAATGCTGTGATCGAATCTGGCAGGGTCCTCATCATCAACCCTTTTGATTCTGCGATACAAAACAACAGAACTGCACCTAATCCTTCGATCACTGATTCATATTGTTCATAAACAAAGAATGCAGTGAAGGCAAAAACCAGAACTGCATTGCGGATTACATTCGAAGTCAATACCACATGATAAATCAAAATAATATCTCATTTATAGTAAAAGTAAATTCGTTACTTACCAAAGCCAACGAGTACAACCAAGGAATAAGAGACGATCAACTTGAAGAAACACAGAAAAATCACAACCTGGAAGGTCAGAAGTTTAAAGAACAAGAAGAAAAGCTTGCATATAGAACTTGCTATTATGGTCATAATCAAGCTTGTACGGACTTAGGTATAGCTTTTACGGTTAGAACCAATAAAAAAATCAGGGGTTATGGCGCATTTTGTAAAAAAAAAAGTGAAGTAAAAGATGTTAAAAGTTTCAAAGTTTGGCAACCAACTTTGGAAAATGTTTTTTTCAAAGTTTGGTAAATGTTTCTTTGAAAAATATTTTTCAAAGTTTGGTAAAATTTTGGTAAATGTTTGTTGAAAATAAGAATGGGTAAATTCACTTTAGTCATTGCACTTTAGGGTATTTTCAAAGATTAGTCCCTAAGTTTCTACTATAAATACCCTTACCCATTTAGCTTCAAAATCATCCCAAAAATCATTTCTTTCTCCCAAAACTAGAGAGCTTTCTTGTGAGTAGTGAGTGTTTTGTAAACACCTGTAAAATTTCTCTCTTAGTAAAAGATCTGCAGCAGTCCGGAGACGTAAGCAAAATTGGCTGAACTCCGTGATCAATTTCGGGTATTATTTTTCCGCTTTTATTTCGCATTATCACTAATCTGGTTATAGGGAAATTACTTATACTCAGTTTTTTTTCCTAACAACTGGTATCAGAGCTTTTGGCTGTGAATTTTATCAATTTTTCTGCGAGGTTACTATTCATTACTATTCACGTGAATAGTGAATTTCGTGAATAGTGAAATTTCGGTCGGCGATACGAGTTTGTCGACGGTGGTGTTCTAATACACGGTAGTTCACAAGAATTGTCAGAAACGATCCAAAAGAAGCCAGATTCGAGTGGAAGCGATGGCTGCAGACGAAGGGAAGGTGAAAATTGAAAAGTTCGATGGTGCGGACTTTGGCTTTTGGAAGATGCAGATTGAAGATTTTCTGTACCAAAAAATCTTTATCAACCTCTCTCAGGAAAGCAACCAGAGGGCATGAAGAATGAAGACTGGGCTCTTCTCGACCGACAAGCCCTCGGAGTCATCCGACTGACGTTGTCCCGAAATGTTGCTTTCAACATAGCAAAGGAAAAGACCACGGCGGGTCTTATGGCGGCTCTCTCCAGTATGTATGAGAAGCCATCGGCCTCAAACAAAGTTCATTTGATGAGGCGATTATTCAATTTGCGGATGACGGAAGGGGCATCGGTGGCACAACACCTAAATGAACTCAACACAATCACAACCCAGTTGAGTTCAGTGGAAATTGAGTTCGATGATGAAGTTCGAGCTTTAATTCTCTTATCATCTCTACCAGACAGTTGGAATGCTACTGTTACAGCAGTCAGCAGTTCGTCGGGAAACAGCAAATTAAAATTCGACGATGTTCGGGATCTGGTACTGAGTGAAGAAATTCGACGGAGAGAATCGGGTGAAGCATCAACCTCCTCAGCCTTGCACACGGAGTCTAGAGGAAGAACTTCATAAAGATATTCAAATCGTGGCAGATCAAAATCCAGACGGGAAAAATCTAGAACGGGAAAGAAAGATTTTACCTGTTATAATTGTGGCAAGAAATGTCACTTTAAAAGAGATTGCCGAGCACTGAAGAAAGATACCGGTGCACAGGAATCTGCCAACGTGACAGAGGAGACAGGTGATGCCATGATTCTAAGCGTCAACAGTCCGATTGAATCATGGATCTTGGATTCAGGGGCATCTTTCCACTCCACCCCATGCCAAGAAATCATGGAGAACTATGTCAATGGTGATTTTGGGAAGGTTCATCTTGCTGATGATGAAACCTTAAAGATCGTCGGAAAAGGAGACATCCGACTAAAATTGCCAAACCAGACCACCTGGAAGCTGACAGGAGTGAGACATATTCCTGGCCTCAAAAGAAATCTGATTTCTGTTGGACAGCTTGATGGAGAAGGATATAGCACAACCTTTTCAGGCTGTGAATGGAAGATTACCAAAGAAGCACTCGTCATTGCTCGTGGTAAGAAGACTGGTACTCTCTATGTAACCTCAAATTTAGAGAATATCATTGCAGTAGCAGATGCTGATGGAAAATCAAACCTATGGCACCAAAGGCTTTGCCATATGAGCGAGAAAGGGATGAAGACACTTTTGTCAAAAGGGAAGCTGTCGGATCTAAAGAATGTAGATGTCGGACTATGCGAGGATTGCATCTTTTGCAAACAAAAGAAAGTCAGTTTTGCAAAGATTGGCAAGACACCCAAGGCAGAAAGGTTAGAATTGATTCATACTGATGTATGGGGACCATCCCCAGTTCCATCTCTTGCAGGCTCACTATATTATGTCACCTTCATCGATGATTCAACAAGGAAGGTGTGGGTTTATTTTCTGAATAAGAAATCATAAGTCTTTGATACCTTCAGAAAATGGAAGGCCATGGTGGAAAATGAGACTAGTTTGAAAGTCAAGCGGTTGAGGTCTGACAATGGAGGAGAATACAGAGACAGTAGATTCAGAGATTTCTGCGCAAACAATGGGATCAAGATGGAGACAACAGTTCCCATAACACCGCAGCAGAATGGCGTAGCAGAGCGCATGAACAGAACTCTGAATGAACGTGCCAGAAGCATGAGAATACATGCCGGATTGCCCAAATTTCTATGGACTGAAGCTATCAACACTGCAGCTTACTTGATCAACCGTGGGCCCTCAGTTCCTTTGGATGTCGGAATACCAGAGGAAGCTTGGAGCAAGAAAGAAATAAACCTTTCATACTTAAGATTGTTTGGTTGTATTTCTTATGTACACATAAACTCTGCTGAAAGAAGTAAACTTGATGCCAAGTCCAACAAATGCGTCTTTGTTGGTTACGGTGGTGATGAGTTCGGTTACCGGTTTTGGGACTACGAAAATCGAAAGATCATCAGAAGCAGAGACGTCATTTTCAATGAAAATGTGATGTACAAAGATAGGTCAACCACAGAATCAAGTAATACCGAAGCTGAAACAAAGGAATTTCCTGAGTTCGAGGAGATTTCTGGAAATGATGTTCAGATCAATCCTGAAGCAGTTCAAGAAGAATCAGGCACACCAGAACTGAGACGCTCCTCCAGAATTCCTAAACCAACCCAACGGTATTCTCCTTCTTTACACTACTTGTTGCTGACTGACAATGGTGAACCAGAGTGC